TAAAATTGATAGGAAAATACATCATATTTACTTGTTTTATATTATTATTTACATTTCTATAGTCACTTCCTGGTTTCTGGCCTAGGCAAATGATGCCATACATCCCAGGAGTCTTCAGGAGGAGTTTTCTCAGCTAAGCACACCCTCCTGACTGTATGCCCAAACTAAGGGCAGACGGATTTCAGGAAGTAAATGCTAAGTAAATGAATCATTTGCCCTTACTTAAGATGGCCACAGCCAGAAATGCTACGGCGTTTTTTTTTCTCAGCAAAATAAAAGGGGAGGGGGGTGCTTTTGGATATTAAAAATTAACTAAATAGCGCTTTATTATGCCCAAACTAAGGGCAGACGGATTCCAGGAAGCAAATGCTACATGAATCATTTGCCCTTACTTAAGATGGCCACAGCCAGAAATGCTACAGGGTTTTTTTTTTCTCAGCAAAATAAAAGCAAAATAAAGGGGGGGGGGTGCTTTTGGATATTAAAAATGAACGTTTCCCACCTGGGCTGTTTCCGTAACATACTCCAGGGCTTCGTCTTTGGACAGTCCACTAGGGTAGTCCATCTTGATGGTCTCTGCCAGGTCATACATGCTGTTATAATACCTGAGGGGAGAAAGCACACTTCATTAATGGGCAGCTTCATTTCTTTCAATATGGCGGCCCCTTCCTTGTATAAATAAGTTTTGCAAGCTGTGCTCTCCCTCTGAAAGCACCAGAACTGACCCCACTCTCGTCCTCCCGTGGTGTCCAGCACTGGTCCTCTAGTGAGATGAAGAACACCCAACCTAGACTGGTGACCAGAAGGAGAAGCAGCTCCTTAGAATGGTGGTCAGTGTGGAGAGGTGTCCACTTGCATTGTGAGGTCATTGGGAGAAAGGTCCCCTTAGATCGGTGGTCAATGGGAGAGGAGTCCACTTCAAACAGAGGACAGTGGGAAAGGTACCCACTTCGATTGGTAATCAGTGGGACAGTTGACCCTTTAGATTAGTGCCAGTGGGAGAGAAGATACCTTAGACTGGTGGATACTGGCAGAGGTGCCCCCTTACACTGGAGGCCAGTGGGCAAGGTGCCCCCTCTTACATTGGTTTAAAGTGGGAGAGGTGCCCCCTTCTATTGGGGGTCAGTGTTCAAGGGGAGAGGGGCCCCCCCTTACATTAGTGGTCAAAGAGAGATGTGCCCGCTTCGACTGGTAATCAGTGGGAGAGATGACCCCTTAGATTAGTGGCCAGAGGGAAAGAAGACCTCTTAGACTGGTGGTCAGTGGGAGAGGTGCCCCCTTACATTGGTGGCCAGTGGGAGAGGTGCCCCCTTACATTGATGGCCAGTGGGAGAAGTGGCCCCTTACATAGGTGGCTAGTGGGAGAGTTAGCCCCTTGGTGGCCAATGGGACATGTGGCCCCTTACATTGGTGGCCAATGGGACAGGTGGCCCCTTACATTGGTGGCCAATGGGACAGGTGGCCCCATACATTGGTGGCCAATGGGACAGGTGGCCCCTTACATTGGTGGCCAGTGGGAGAGGTGACCCCTTACATTGGTGGCCAGTGGGAGAGGTGACCCCTTACATTGGTATCCAATGGGAGAGGTGGACCCTTACATTGGTATCCAATGGGAGAGGTGGTCCCTTACATTGGTATCCAATGGGAGAGGTGGTCCCTTACATTGGTATCCAATGGGAGAGGTGGTCCCTTACATTGGTATCCAATGGGAGAGGTGGTCCCTTACATTGGTATCCAATGGGAGAGGTGGTCCCTTACATTGGTATCCAATGGGAGAGGTAGCCCCTTACATTGGTATCCAATGGGAGAGGAGGCCCCTTACATTGGTATCCAATGGGAGAGGTGGTCCCTTACATTGGTATCCAATGGGAGAGGTGGACCCTTACATTGGTATCCAATGGGAGAGGTGGTCCCTTACATTGGTATCCAATGGGAGAGGTGGTCCCTTACATTGGTATCCAATGGGAGAGGTAGCCCCTTACATTGGTATCCAATGGGAGAGGTGGACCCTTACATTGGTATCCAATGGGAGAGGTGGTCCCTTACATTGGTATCCAATGGGAGAGGTGGTCCCTTACATTGGTATCCAATGGGAGAGGTGGTCCCTTACATTGGTATCCAATGGGAGAGGTGTCCCCTTACATTGGTATCCAATGGGAGAGGTAGCCCCTTACATTGGTATCCAATGGGAGAGGTGGACCCTTACATTGGTATCCAATGGGAGAGGTGGTCCCTTACATTGGTATCCAATGGGAGAGGTGGTCCCTTACATTGGTATCCAATGGGAGAGGTGGTCCCTTACACTGGTATCCAATGGGAGAGGAGGCCCCTTACATTGGTATCCAATGGGAGAGGTGCCCCCTTACATTGGTATCCAAGGGGGAGAGGTGCCCCCTTACATTGGTATCCAAGGGGAGAGGTGCCCCCTTACATTGGTGACCAAAGGAAAAAGGTGCCCCCCTTCAATCGATGGTCATTGGGCGAGATGACCCCTTAGTGACCAGTGGTGGAGAAGATCATATAGATTGGTGGTCAGTGGAAGAGGTGCCCCCTTACATTGTTAATCAGTGGAGAGCCCCCCCCCCATACATTGGTGGCCAGTGGGAGAGGTTCCCACATTACAATGGTGATCAGTGGAGAGCCCCCCCCCCCCCCCTTACATTGGTAATCAGTGGAGAGTCGTCCCCCCCGTACATTGGTGGCCAGTGGGAGAGGTTCCCTCATTACACTGGTGATCAGAGGAGAGCCCCCCCCCATACATTGGTAGTCAGTGGGGAGAGGTTCCCCCATTACATTGATCAGTGGAAGAGGTGCCCCCTTACATTGGTAATCAGTGGAGAGGCCCCCCCGTACATTGGTGGCCAGTGGGAGAAGTTCCCCCATTACACTGGTGATCAGTGAAGAGGTGCCCCCTTACAATGGAGGTCAGTGGGTGAGGCGCCACCTTGGACTGGTGGTTAGTGGAATAGGTGTCCTCTTAGTGGGAGAAGTGCCCCCCTACACTGGAGGTCAGGGAGAGAGATGCCCCATTATATCGGTGGTCATTGGAAGGAATTCCCCCTAACACTGATGGACCCCGATCCCACACTACTGGCTTTACCATGTGACATCAGTACCAGAACTATGCAGGAAATCCGCCACGCCCCATTGCTCAAGGAACTCCCAGCAACCTCTGGGGGTAATCTAGAGTTCCGCAGAACCAACGTAGTCCTACATGGGCTCTTGCATGGCCTAAAAAGACTCACTTGTTGTGGTAGGCTGCCCTGTGGTCGGTCAGCACCACCCCAGGGATATTCCGAGCCTTCAGGAAACGCTGGAAAGATGCTGGTGGAAGGGCTTGGGACTGGTTCACCTCCTGCAAGGTCACGTTGGCCCCCGTACTCGCCGTCTTCAGGGTCTGGATCAGTTCCTGCACCTTTATGAGGAGAGCGAGGTCTGAGAACTTCACCAGTTTATACAGGAGAGAAACCCATTACCCATCATACCCCTATAAACCAACACAACTGGATTTTACCCCCCCCGATAAATACCTCGGCATTCACCGTCTCATTTGTCCGAGAGACGGGGTCACTGTGAATCCATAGGACAGAGTTGTTTCTTAGCGCCACCTGTAGGACAAATGTACACATGACTCATTGGTGGCTGCAAGGAAATTAGTTTCGGAAGTTTTGACTTTTCACATGTTGACCGGCGTACCTGACTGAGTTCAACAAATGAGTGAATGTTGTTCAGGCGCACAGGAAATCGTCCCTTTTGCATGTCGTACACCATCCGCGAGCTTCCAATGTAGTCAAACACTTCCTGCGGGAACACGGAGCGAGGTCACGTACAACACGCCACGACAGTTATTTGAAGTGGATGTAAACCCTAACATATCCCCAGAGAGGTGACCGGCCTCAGGGGATACACAGAGATGAAACAAACCCTCCTGCGTAAGTTGTACCTGTTTATCTGCAGTCTACTCTTCTCTAAATCCGTACAAAGCGATGAATTTATAAAGCTCGTTTGAGAGTTCGGAAAAAAAAAAAAGGGGCTGAAGTTACACTCTGCACAGAGCTCTGAGAGCTGATTGGAAGGAAGAGATTGGGCGTATTCAATATATTTAAAAAAAAAAAAATATATATATATATATATATATATATATATATATATATATATATATATATATATTTTACATACACACATATATACATATACATGTATACACACACATACATACATATGTAGACACACACATATATATACATACACTGTATGTTGAGATGCGTTTTTGATATATTACAAAATATATGCAAAATATTTGTAAAAATATATATATTTTTTAAATATATTCTTCAGATTTTTTTTTATTATATAAAAAAGTCATTTAACATATTTTTACATATATTTGTAAATGCATTCCAAAAATGTAGATTAAATGTATTTTTAAAAATATTTTTTATATATTCTGTAATTATAAAATATATACACACACACACACATATATATATATATATATTTATTTATTTTTAAATATTGAATACGGCCAAAATGGTAGTATTTCAAATATATGTCAATATATTTGGGAAGAATATTTTTAAAATATATTTTTCTTCCATGTGGGTATTGATGAGCTGATAGTATGCTCAACTATTTTATTATTTCCATAAAAAGATCTACAAAAGATAATGCGCTGGGCTGGTGTGCCGGCTGTTGGTTTTTTTTCCACCTCGTTTTCTAGAGCTTGAGAAGAGCCCGCCACTGGACAGTCCATAGAAGAGTCCATGTCACCCAGGGAGCAACATGGACACCTGAAGGACCACCCGCCTCTTCTGCAGTGAAGGTGATAGAAGACTCAGGACCTGGCGCATCATGTGACCATGCATTTAGGGGCTTTTGGATCAGGTACCTCGGTCGGCGGGTTTACGCACGGTTCAGCTTTAAATCAGAACTTTGGCAAAGACAGCCAGGCAACTACATTTTCCAGCAGCTTGCATACAGTATTTCCTGAACACAAAAAA